GTACTTAAAAACACGGTATTACGGTGAGGTAACTTTAGTGAAGAATACAATTTATATATAACTGTAGTAGTTTGATATTTGTAGTAAAGAACTGCACAGATAAATTTCCAATTTTCGTAGTATTGCGTGGTAATTAGGTATTTGTTATTAAGTATACTGTACGAAAAACATATAGTAAGCACATTTAGTAAAGAAAACAATTTGTAATTAGGTGGAGCAAGATCGCCTGTTTGAGCGTAGTCCTGAATAGGACTGTTGTTTATAGTGACTGACGTTTTGAAAACCTGATGTGTTCAGTAGTCATCTTCAGAGTCAATGAAAGGACTACGTTCACCCGGATGATCGTGCTTCATCTTCTTATGAGATGATATCAATCACCAATCATCTTTTGTGGTAATTAGGTATTTAGGTAATTAGGCATCATTGTCGTTCATCTCCGCTGGGTGAGGTGCGAATTCTTCATAGAACTGCCTTCGTGCTCATTTTTTAGTCATAAACAAAGGTGCTGGACAGTTCTATCTGAGCTCTGATACGAGGTAGCGTCCAATCTCAATACCTTTTTCCTGAGTTGAAAGCAACGAACAGCAGTAAAAGTCGTCGAAAATGCATTGCAATACATCAAAATGTATGCAGCAGGAGTTTGAGCCAAAACTGCCAAGGGATATTTTAAATATGTCGAGGAACATGTCATTCTACGTCAGAATAAGGTTTGGAGCAATTTATAGTGCTTCTGAAACTAAAAAGTACCTTTTAAAGAATAGCACGATAGGCAATCGGCTCTCATTTTAAGAATTAGCAAACATTGAATTTACTTGTTCCGAAAATTCAAACTGGTGTCGCCTTCTACCTGATAGTTAAGAATTTCATCGTAAAAAAAGTTACCTATTTGTCGTCTTTGTAAAGGACTTGTTTTTTATGACATTAACTATGCCCCTTAATAACTTTCGTTTGAAGTTTTCATATATATTTTTTTTCAAGTCATGAGAAATATGACTGCCGCAGCTGGGACGAATGGCCGATCCTTGAGAGTTTTTGTGAAAAGTAAATAAATATCGATCTTGTGAAAATTTAAAATCACATTTCTGCCAATAAAGTTTGTGTACTTCAAAATGTTTTCGGGAGTTTCAAGAAACAGACGCTTGGTGTTGTACATGTGAGAGCCGGCTTGAAATGATTCGATTTTTAACTGTCCCCCTCTCACAACGTGATTGTGATATGTGGTGAAGAGTTTGAACTTGTTTAAGCTGCTTCACAACATTTTCATGGTCACCATTTCTTGTTTTCAGTGGTGAAAATGTTGAGGCTACTCGACAAAATAAATTCTCGACTCAGGTGCTCTTCTGCACATATTTAACCACCAGGTTTTGGTTCCTCGAAGGATGGTTAAGTTTAACCCAGGATATATCGATTAGACTTAATTTGACGCAAAGTTTTCTTGTGTACGAGCATGCAACTGGAGCTTACAACATACTGATGAGCCTTTACTCCGAGTTAGATACAGCAATACTTTGGAAGGTAAAATACAAAAACGTGCCACTGAAAATTTTAATCCTGGGTTAACACTAATCGGCCTTTCAGGAGCAGACCCAGGGAGACAAGCGTAGGCACGCAGGGGACACTGGGATCAAGAATAAATACACCATGCGCATGCTGGTCGCGCTGCTGCAACTGGGTATGGTCGTATATTATGTAAACAACAAAAATACCAGGTGAGCTTTCGCGCGAAAACATGAAATCCTCACATATAAAAATGACATGTTATCCCGCCGCTTGAAAAGATGTTAAGCGTAAAGTCAAATTCTTGGTTCTCCATTAGTTCTCCGTAGTTGGTTTTGCTGCGGGAGAACGCCTGGAGAAGAACCTGGTGACTTACGCTGGCGCATCTTTTCGAAATAGAAGTGTCATTTTCGCTATGAAGATTTCGCTGTTTTCGCGAAAAGCAAACCTGTAAAATCGTAATTAGTTAGCTTTGCTAACTACGACTAACAATAGACGACTGTTTAACTATGACAATAGACGGATCGAAACGCACAATTACTGATTACGAGTCTTCGCCAGCTAACATCACTGCTTAACTGACAGACGACCAATAACATCGCGACGTAATTGACCAATCAGATCAATGACCAGAGTATAATACCATCAACTGACGTGAAACAATTCACTTTGACTCTGAAGATGACTACCGCACAGGTTGTCGAAACGTCAGTCACTGTCAACAACAACAGTCCTGTTCAGGACTACGTTCACCCGGACGATCAAACTCAACCTACTTTTGAAATGACTCCTGGGTTCAAAACTTTCACAGCATTACAAATTATGTTAGCATAAATTGTGACATTCCCTGGTCTCACGGATTAAGAATGGAAAAATAAGAAATATCAAAGGTTGCCCTAATATGAGATATGATATGATATATGTTAGGATATGATATGATATGCTCACTACTTTGCTTTATGGATCGATATATGGAAAGAGAGGGTGGACTATCGTCTAGTTCTTGCAACCTGATATATTTCGTCCTTCTGGGTAAAATCCCCTTTCCAATCTTTCGATTTCTGTTGCTGTTTCGCTTCCTCTTCCGATTGTGGATGGCTGGTTTTAGGACGCTGAAGCTTGAAGGAATTAAAATGGATTTTTTACAATGTACGATTTGTGAAGTGTCAGGAAACGTGGACAGGTAAAGATGACTTAGAACCTGGCTCAGTGGAACTTCATCATTTGTATCCGTGGAAGAACGAATTCAAGTTTCGCGTCAGCAAAGCAGGATATATTGAAGTAAGTAGTAAGCTTACAACCTCATTTATTTACTATGCTGGCCATCACGTTTAAATTCTTTTCTGTAAGCTTAAGTTATTTATCGCTTATTGAATTATGAACAATCAGAGCTCAAAAGTAAATTGGGCTCGGAGTTGATAACCGCTTAGATAAACTTCGGTAAATGTCTTATTTTGAAAATACATTTCATAGCGGCTTACGTGACGACAAAAACGTTCAGAGACGATTCTACATAAAGTCCATGTTGAGATTAGTAAACTTTCTCAAAGTTATTATGAGTAACAACGAACTGCAATGATTGTAATGTTAGAAGCGCAAAAAAGGGGTTTTGATAAATTTTTTTTAATCGCCTACACCGTGAGGTTTCTACGCAGAACATCTTGGTTAGGTTTCGGAGGTTTACATTGTTGACAAGCTGAGTGGCAATAGAGAAGAGTATTTTTAATTCTACCGGAAAATAAATGTCCTCTAGTCTGTACACAATCTAATAACTACCCGGATCGAGTAGTAACAAGTTTTAAATACTTTCGGTATCAAAAAAATCTGCAAGCACAAACAGATGCTGACAAAATGAATGAATCAATCAATACACTCAGTTTAGGGACGGACGATTAGAAAACTTCATGAGGGAGGAGGGGGTGGGGGGGGCAAAGTACAAAAAAAAAAGGGGCAAGGGAAAATTAAATGAAACGAACGTCATGCACGTTAAAGGGGTTGTGTCATGGCAGTCCAGTTCATTTTGATTAATTTTGCCAAATTTTACTCGCCCTCAGCCGCTAAGGAAGTTAACGTAAGCAAAGAAATTACAGGTAAATGACAAAATCAGAGATCGAGACAAACAAATATGTCTACTGAGCATCATTTTTGAAGATGCAAACAGCATGAAACTGTTGGGCTGAACAGTTTTCAAAAACCCTAATTTCAATCCGTTTCAATCTTCTTCAGTTTTGCCCATCCGTGGCATCTGTTGTTTCTGTTATGTTATTTTAACCTTCCTTTAAATTTTTAAGCGGTTATTTTTATGTTTCTCTTTTTTGAACTGGCATTTTGTAATTTGCTAATGTGGCTGAATTTCGTGACACAGCTCCTTTAAGTTACCCTAAGAAATATTCAAGCGCTGGTCTGAAAAAAATCACACCTTAATTCCTCTATTAAACCTCCGAGGGCAAACTTATTTCAAATACATTTTGGGGGGGATTAATAGAGACGGGGGGGTTTACTTGAGATGGTATCAGTTCTACGGAAGAACTAGAATGCAAAGTGGAAAACTCAAGTACAAGAAGTTGAAGGTTATGCAGCTGAGGGTCACTCAGGTACAAATCAGAACTTTTAACGCGTGAACAAATAATCTCTCGGCCAGATCCTCCAGCCAAATGAAGTTTTACTGTAAAATGATAAGGGCGAAGGGAGAGAAGACAGGCTTAAAAGAGCGGCGGTTTTATTAACCTCCTTTCCCTGGAAAGGGGCTTTTTAGAAAGGAGGCTTATTTGAGAAGGTGGTGGTGGGGGGGGATAGTCGGTTTACGATATTAGGTAAATATTTCATTTAAAAAATAAGGAAAACTCGTCCGACTTGAACAGTCATCATTTGCAGGGGACAAAGACTTTTCAATAGCCTGTTCCAGGCGTTCAGATAGTAGAGCGCGGCGGTAAGTGGAGAGCGAGTTAAGTTGTACATCGGAAAAATGGGGCGGGGGTGGAACGGGGGGAAGGGGGCGAGAGCGAGAGAACGCCTGTAAACATTGTTAACAAAGGGTCGTTCCGGTATACTGGATTCAGTACACCTCCTTATTGCCGACTGACCGTCTAAATGTTAGACTCGGAGCGACAGAAATTAGATTTGCTTAGTTAAAGAAGGAAAAACCTCTGATGTTGTTTATTGAAAGCTAACTCAAAGGTCACGTTTCACACTATCATGAGCTTATGGGTCGCGTCTTTGTAGTTCATGTCACAGTTACGCGGTCGGCGGTCAATTAAGGTTGGAAAGAGCTCTGTAAGGGAATGTTTACAGGCGTTCTCCCCCCTTCCCCCTCTAGTATCCCCTCGTTTTTTTTTTCTTTCGTGAATTTTTCTCCCGCGCTTTACTATCTGAACGCCTGGAACAGGCTAACTTTTCTCAAGCAAACTCGTTCGTAGGGCTTTCTCTTACAAGTAGGAGGGAGCCCTGGAACGAAAAAATTTTTTCAGAACATATCCCCATGAGCACGGTTTAGTCAAAAAAGGCCATGGAAAAACTAAATAAAATACTGTTCTTTGATTAGAAAAGTTCGAAGGAAAATCGTGTTCCACCGACCACACCTTCTCGTCATAATCTGCCGGTCCTTGGGGTTCTCGAAAACTTTTGCGTCATGACTTTATCTATTTCTTTAAACATCTAAAGTCAATATAAAATAATGCGCTAAAATATTAATCTCATAAAATCAGCTCATTCTCTCATGACAAAATCGATGTAAGAGAGTTAAAAACGTCAAAACTTCGTCGTTTTCAACCTTTTTTAGCTCTCTGAAAGTGTAGTTAAAGTCATTTTAGCCAGAATCCTGGTGACGGGCTCCTGTTTTAGGACATTTTCATATCCTCGTATTGTATAACCTTATCAAATTGTAAAAGGCTTCTATAAAATATGGGTTTACGTGGGTACGAAGCTGTGTAACTTATCTTTGTTTTGCGCCTTAATTTTATTTTCCTAGGCTCTATCTTGATTGTCTTTGTTTTCTTTGTGGGCGTAACCTGGTGTATAGGCCCATTTCAAAGGTTCCCTGCCTTGTACCAAACGTCTCTCTCTCAACGAAAACGCGCAAAGGAAGGTCCCATGGTCCTTGCGCTTTGTCATCAGTCACTCGCGTTTGGCGCTCGCCTCTGTGCCAAAAAAAAGCGCAGGACTCTCTAGACTGGGGATCAGCAAATTTTAGTAAAATTAGGATTATCTGAATCTCATGGTCTACTGACTATAGGTTACTGTGGAAAGTCAATATAACTGGTCTTAATCTGTTTCAGTTTGACATTATGGCTCAGAGTTCAATGAATGTTACCAATACATCAGTTACCATAAGCAGATTACAATACATGCATCCCTTCGCTGGAAACCTACCCAGTGTAACCATCCATCTTAAAGATGCTAATCCAGATGATATTCAATTCTTTATTGATGAGCTAGGTAGGTAGGTAGGTAGATTATTTATTTAAAAACTCGGTAAAATCTTCAGTAATAATAGAGTAAAAATCTAATCACAATTAATTAGACTAAAACTATCGACATACTGTTTTTACAAGACTGCCGAGTGAGAGTCCGACGACTCAAATACATGTTTGATTTGCTCTTTAAATTTCCTGTCTGATTTAGTTTCTCTCACATTTTCGGGTAAAGAGTTCCACAACAAAGCACCGCTGTAACTGAAACTTCGTTTCAAGTAGTTAGTACGCGGCCTGGGCAACGTCAATTTATGAAAGGAATTGCGCAAATCATAGTCTGTGCTTCGTTCGTGAAATAGGTTCTGCAAGTACACTGGAGCTTGTGCATTTAGAGATTTAAACATCATTATTGCTTTTATGCTTCTTTCTCCTTATAACTAATTTGTCCCATTTGAGTATATCAAGAAGCAGGCTCGAGCTAGTCCCATAGTTGGCCTTTAAAATTACTCTAGCTGCACGGTTCTGTAACTTTTGTAATTTGTCACTCAGTTGATCACTTAAGCCATCCCAAACAAGGCTACAGTAATCAAAGTGAGGTTGAATTAAGGAGTTATAGACTAGTACCGCAGTAGATTGGGAGATAAGGGGCCTAATACGTCTAAGGGCACCTATAGCCGAAGTTACCTTCTTACACAATTCGTTAACATGATTAGACCAGGAAAGCCGATTGTCAATAATGAGACCTAATGATTTTGCGTGATCAACATTGCTGATAACTTGGTCTTCTAGTTTGATGTTTATTTCGTTATGGCTTTCCGCGAGAAGCTTCTGGCGAGAGCCAATAACCATAAACTCGGTTTTCGCAACATTAAGACTAAGCTTATTGGCTTTTAGCCAACAGTGAAGGTTCAGTAGTTCTAAGTTAGTCTCTTGTTCAAGGTCAGCTAGAGAGGAACCAGAAATGGTAATAGTTGTATCATCTGCGAACATTTTAGCGCATGCTGAATTAAGGCAGTTTGGAAGATCGTTTATATAGATTAAGAAGAACAAAGGACCGAGAATACTACCCTGTGGGACTCCGCATCTTAGTTCGCTTGCACTGGACAATACGCCATTAACATAACATTTCTGACTCCTGTTACCTAGGCAGGAGGCAAAGAATCGTAGGGAACCCAGATCAAGTCCATAGTTTGCAAGTTTATGTAACAAAATTGCATGGTCAATGGTGTCAAAAGCCTTTTTAAGATCGATATATACCACACCATTTAAAAGGCCGTTATCTATGTTAATAGACCAGTTGTTCGTTGATTCAAGTAGCGCCGTCATGGTGCTATGGAGCGATCGAAAGCCGGATTGATAAGTATTCAAATGTTTGTTTTTATCTAGGTAATCGTAGAGTTGTTGATAGATAATTTTCTCGAATAGCTTTGAGACAATTGGCAATACAGAAATTGGTCTATAGTTATTCAGGTCAGATTTTGATCCTTTTTTAAAGATAGGAGTCACCTTGGCGATTTTCCATTCATCTGGAAAGGTTTCTGTTTCTATACAGCTATTAAAAATTTTCGTTAATGATGGTCCAATAATGGAACTGGCTAATTTCAGAAGTTTACAGCTGCCTGTTTCTATCAAAGGTAAGACTGGGTGATAAAACTTAGCAAATTTCATTAGTTATCAGTTGTTTCTCCAAACCTTAGCAAATGGAAATACAGAATTAAATATACATGTAAGGTTAAAAATTAAGTAACCATTAAATTTACAAAGAATGTAAAGGCAAGATACAATATTACAACACTTAAATTAAATCACATGGTAAATAGAAAGGAGAGGCGAAGGGTATGTCTAGGTAAACTAATATTGTGCCCCTTAAACTTACGTATAACAAAAAAGTTGTAGTCTTAAATAGAAAAGTAAACTTAGCAAGTTCTGAAGAGAACAGATCACAAACGTTAAGGGAACAGACCGCGAATAATTGTTGTTGCGTTTGAAATTCTCTGCACATTTTAGGAGGAGCCACCCACAATGTGAGCACAGTTACCGACTCTATAAATTAATATGGAAAAACAGTGAGATTTAGCTAGAAACGGATCCAAATTTTGGTTCAAACTAGAGACGAATATAGCATTGTTATAATAATTCGGTGTTTAGAGGAATCACACTTTTTGCGCTTATAACTCTTTGCAGCACAATTGAAAATGCAAGATCTACGAGAGGAAAATCTAAAAAGGCAATTACGGGAACTGCAGAAACAGGAGGGAAACTGGCCAGAGCAGATGAGGAAGATGAGGCAACGCGAAGAGAATTCTCAAAGGCAGTTAAGGGAAATGCAACAACGCGAAGAAAACTCTCAAAGGCAGTTATGGGAAATGCAGGAACGAGAGGAAAATTCTCAAAGGCAGTTAAGAGAAATGCAGGAACGAGAAGAAAATTCACAAAGGCAGTTGAGAGAGATACAGCAACGAGAAGAAAATTCACAAAGGCAGTTGAGAGAGATGCAGCAACGAGAAGAAAATTCACAAAGGCAGTTGAGAGAGATGCAGCAACGAGAAGGAAATTCACAAAGGCAGTTGAGGTAGATGCAGCAACGAGAAGGAAATTCACAAAGGCAGTTGAGAGAGATGCAGCAACGAGAAGAAAATTCACAAAGGCAGTTGAGAGAGATGCAGCAACGAGAAGAAAATTCACAAAGGCAGTTGAGAGAGATGCAACAACGAGAAGAAAATTCACAAAAGGCAGTTGAGGTAAATGCAGCAACGAGAAGAAAATTCACAAAGGCAGTTGAGAGAGATGCAGCAACGAGAAGAAAATTCACAAAGGCAGTTAAGAAAAAATACAGCAACGAGAAGAAAATTCACAAAGGCATTTGAGAGATATTGTGACTGGATCATTGCTCGCCGCGAAATTCAGATGACAGACAAATGCCTTGGGAGGGGAGGTTGGGGAAGTGTTTATGAAGGAGTATATTGTGGGTGGGCTGTAGCAGTTAAACAAATCCATGATTTGATTCTCTCTCCACATAACATACGCCTCTTTAATAGAGAAATGGAGATTGCTTCAAAGTGTCATCACCCTCATTTACTACAGTTTATCGGGGCCACAAATGACGAAGAAAGCCCTCTGTTTGTAACCGAGCTCATGGAAAACAATTTGAGGACTCTGCTAGAGCAGCGGCAACTATCTGAAAGAGAAATACAAACTATTTCTCTGGACGTAGCTCGTGGACCTAACTATCTGCATCATAAAAAACCAGTACCCATCATTCACCGGGATATCAGCAGTGTTAATGTGTTGCTATGGCGACAGGGTGACCAATGGAGAGGCAAAGTGTCAGATTATGGCACTGCTAACAGAACATGACAGTGGCTCCTGGAGCTATGATTTACAGCGCACCTGAAGCGCTTACACCACAGCAAACAGTCAAGGTTAGTTCTCATTGAAAAAATAAAGGATTCAAGGCTGTCTAAGTAACACCTTGTAAACACCAGGGCCGGGTTGTTAAACGCTGAGTTTAGCGGATAACCAAGGTTAGCGCGAAATTTGAATTCAGATCATGATGAAAGCTTAAAAAGTAAATTCAGTTTAATTTTTTCTGTCAACAAGTTGATGATTGGATTCACGCGTCTTTCGAACCAAAGAACAAGAAACCTGGGTTAAGCGCTAATCGTCCTTCGAACAACTGGGCCCAGGTGGGGTAGTAATCATCCAAAGGTCGGTGATCTTTTTTTGCCTGGTTGTAATGTAAACTACTTTATACCTGATGCATGCAAAAGAACACTAATGAGAGCTATTCAGCTATTCTTCCTTCAAACCATTATTGATATCTGAAACTTTTGTTGAGTGCATAAATTAAAGTAGCTATAGGCCAATGGAAAACAAAACTGGCATACCAATACATACAACGTGCTAGAACACTCGTCAAAGACTTTTAAGGACGAATGATTTCTGGCGAAATAGCCGTAGGCAGTTACAGTTTTATACAATGGAGAAAAATCACTTCTGTTAGCTCTTTAGGTACTTCTTCTATATATTACAGTCAATTTGGACCGAAATGACTGATTTCCTTACCCTTTCATATACTTGAACTAGTGAAATCCCTTTCCTTTCACACACATGAAGCCTAAAAACGCCGGTACCCCTTTCGGGGGTGGGGGGACTCTCCCTATAAGCCATTATAGGAAGTACCACCCCCCCCCAACCCCTCCGCCGCCCCCCGTCTGTAAGTTAAAGTCGTGATGCCAACAAGCGGTTGTTATTATGTGGTTGGATAACGTTTTTGCGGCCAAGCCTGCTTTGTTTTTGTTTGATTGTTTTTCCATAGAAAACGTAACCCTCTGTCAAAACGAGTCAACAAGTGCGGCTCGACACGGCGAACAAGCATCAAAACTTAATGATTAAGAATACCGACATGAACTTGACCCAGCAGCTTTTCTCGTCCGTGTAACCTGGCAAAAAATATTTATTCTGGCTTAATTTACGTGGTAGCAGAGAATTCAAACACCCATAGAACTTTATATTACATGTAATTTTCATATCATTTTCTTTTGACGCCAGATTGATGTTTACAGCTTTGGTGTTCTTCTATGTGAAATGTGCATCTGGGAACTTCCAGATTCTAGTAGGCGTGAAGTACAAGTCTCGCTTGTGACGAACACTGAGTTTAGGGGCCTGGTACGGAGATGCCTTCAGAAGACTCCGAGCATGAGACCAACCATGCAAGAGATTATCGACGAAGAGTAAAATCTCATTAACTTTCCATCTTAATTACACATTAAATAGCATGTGAAATAGCTTGTTCCCCCGTTGTCTGTACGGTACAGTGACGGCAGAACCTCGATAACTCAAATTACTCAGATAACTCGCATTCCCCTCTAGCTAACTCGAACCAAGTCCCATTTCCCTCGGATTTCACCACACTCTTTAAGTTTACTCGGTTTACTCGAACTCATATAACTCAAAGCGAACTAAATTTCCTTTCCCTCTATCAAAAATTGGGGTTAAAATCAGTGCCCCACTGGGATGCCATCCCATTGGCTCTTCTTGTTGTATAATTGAATATTCAATCGACCCCTGATAAATCGAACTGCTAACTGGAAAACTGCTTTTCGTTTCCATTCACAGTTCGGGATAATGGGGTTCTACTGTACTTTATTCAGAAATTTCTGTTGTTGAAATAAAAAAATCCCTCAGAAATGTGTGTAGTGTGAGGAGCTAACAAATTAATGTGTGCTAGGAAGTTATGTCTCGTCTCGTGTTTTTTCGCAAAACGCTGCGTTCGCCTCGCTTGGCTTATAAAGCGCCTGTTGTGTTATGCAGGCTAACGAGGTCTTTGAACCCTTAACCCTGGCCCTTTGCCCTAAAAAAACTTCCTGGTTCATTTCACTACCTTGCTTAAGACAAGAGACCTTATTTTATGACCCTGGCTTGTTTCATTTGTACACAGAACTTAGTATTTTTTCCCCGGGGGGTACTAACTTTAAGCCTTATATAAGCTATATAGGTATGTGCTGCCCCATCGGGTAGGGTTTTTGGACCGTTTTGGTCTGAAAACGGGTATACACTTTGCCCATTTTGGTCTGGAATTGGGTGTGGTTTTCGAGGGATCTACGGGAGAGTATAAAGGTATTTATCGTTTTACTTCCAAATGAGTGAGAAAGAAAGAGAGATATGCGAATTCGAAATGGACTTCAGAATATTTTTGTTCCGGCGCTTTAATTCAAGCAATGGTAACATAATTTCTGGTTAAAGGCCAGGTGTGAAAAAAGGGTATGGATTTTAGGGGTCTGCTCTGAAAACGAGAGTGGAAAATTATATATTTTGGTCTGGAATAGGGTCAGCAAGAATTCCCAAGAGAACCCCCCGGGTATTTTTCAAACTAACATCTAGCCTGCGAGTAGGCTCTCCAGGGTGCTCTGACGTGGGGCGTTTGCTCGCACATACCCTTTAAGGCCAAATAAGGGAGTACACCCCCCGAGAAACTAACAGGCTCCTTTTCGGTGTAGAAAAAAACGTACATGTCCGGTTTTTACGAACATTACTGACACGTGAACCTGCTGACATACCCGTCTAGGAACCCACACAATCTGTTTATGTATTTTCCGTTAAGCTGCTTCATCTGTAGCGTCGGATGTAGCCGTATATCGCTAAATTTGTGCATGCACCAATGCTAAATAAATGTTGTACTACCTCACCTTCGGTAAATTGTCGTCTTTTTGCCTGAGAAGTGGTATTTTGAGCGATAATGAAGTATTTTGAGCCCGCTGTTTACTGTTCCTCTAAATTATTTAGCGATATACCGCTACAGATAAAGCAAACGGTAAATACAGTACATTATTTACCCTTATAGGGAATTGCAATAAAGTCTGTCTGTATGTAGTATATTGTGGCTACCAGCGATTTCTTCACTTATCTGGCTAAGGGACTATACTTGGGCCTCTGTTATTTACTTTATACATTACTGAATGATCTGCCAAACTCTCTGTCTAATTCTGAACCAAGAATGTGTGCTGACGGCACTTATGCAGATAGGGACATCGATTCAATTCAGGTCTCTCTAAACCAAGACTTAATAAATATAAATCACTGGCTTATTGTAAATAAACTAACTTTAAACACATCGAAAACTGAATACATGTTAATACATAACACACTTTGCCATCCAAGGAAATTAATGGCTCACCTATCAATAGGGTTAATTATATTCTAGTAAATCTCTCGGTGTTTTGATAGATGAAAATTTAACATAGAGAAACCATACTGATGTTATATCAAAAAAGATTTCTTCGGGTATTGGTTCTATTAAGCGACACTGTTTACCTCCCTAGAACCCTGCTCAACATCTATCATGGTTTGGTCCAATCCCACTTTGACTACTACAGTGTTGTATGGGGCCGGTATGGCTGTGGTAATTTGAAGTATATATTATCTAATAAGTTACAAAAACTCCAAAATCGTGCAGCTTAACTATGATGCTGACACTCCCTAATTACTAAAAAACCTAAATCGGGATAATCTAGTATAGAGACTCGACGTCAGATTCTTAAAGCAGAAATGGTCTAATATATAGATTTAGCCAGGGCTAAAAGCGAAGCTCCCGTTAATAAATTCATAATTTAAATCAAACAATAAACTTGTAATCCACAGATCAGGGCACATTCATTTGAGTTTTGAGGCAAAGGCTGAGTGATTTTAGAGAAAAATCAGAATTTGAGATTCTTAAAGCAGAAATGGTCTATAAATCCTTAAACGGCTTAACACCGGATTATTTATCGTGTAAATTTATTTCACGAAGTGACATCAATAACTCTTATGACTTGCGAAATTCTGCAAATAAGCTTGTTGTTCCCCTGCCACGTACTAACCATTACAAAAATAGCTTCAGCTGTAACACAGTGGTGCGGTTCTCTGGAACAGTCTACCTTCGGATGTAAGGCAGGCAGCCTCGCTAACTTCATTTCGTAAGTTACTAAGACATTGCGACATGGCATCCATGTAAAGCAGGCTTATTCATTTATTTAGTATGGTTTGTATAGTTAGCTTTATAACTTAAAGCTGGTAACATATGTGCAATTCTCACTGCCTGATGTATTTATCGTGTTTAAATAAAGATGATGATGATGATGATGAGTCTAACTACCGTATTTATTCGTTTCGGCTCCCTGGGCGCTTATTAAATTTTCATTATTCTGAGCAAGTAGAAAGTTAATTTTCCAACGAAGCAGTGAATAATATAACAAAATGTGAAGATGTGCCAGAGCAGAATTTTAACCGTTCTTTAACTCGGTCTTCGGGGAAATTTCTTAGTAACACTGTAGCAAGTCAATCTCTATCTGATTGTCAGTAAGATCATTAAGCGAATTCTCTGGTGCATATTGCCTCGTAGATGTCTCAACGCTTAACATCTGCAAATGGGTCATACGACCAGAGAAGCAGTAAAGAAATAATTACTAACTCTTCTTGTCCACTTCAGTTTTTTGTTGTTGTTGATGTTGCTGTTGTTGTTGTTGTTGTGGGAGGGGTGGGGTGGGGGGTTTGTGGGTTGGGGTGGGCACTTACTCGAGGCTGGGCGCTTATTAAATTTTCCTTCCAACGAGATGGGTGCTTATTCGAGGTGGTCGTTAATTTAATCAAATAAATACGGTACATACCGTATAACGCTTCGTAAGGTGTGTAAATATTGGGAAAGGCTGGAGTATGGGAAAGGAAAAGAGCTAGCCTTGCCCATAGACAGCGGCCTTTTTTGGCTTTGTTCTTAATCTTGTCGTTTTTACGGCTCTTATTATTAACCCAGCCTCGTCTTTAGAGGTTCTATCGGTGTCATTCAAAGCAGTTTAAACTTCCTCAGTTTAATCTGTCATATG